TTTAAAATGATGATAGTGCCATAATGTGAAGATGGGGCTTAATCTCCACAAGGACTGCATGCTGATTATTCTTACCAATACTGTCATGGACAGATGCATGTATAGCAGGCAGACTGGTGATAGAGGTCAAGTATCTTTTTCCCTCTTGTTGGTTCCCTTATCACCTGCTGTTAGCAATGTCCTTCTGGAACTGACCAGCTCAATCAGTAGTTGTGCTTCGAAACTGCTCTTGGCAGTGGACAATGAAATCCCAGGGGAAATTTTGTATCCTTGCCACCTCAGTACTTCCCATGGAGGATACTAACTTATCATTCAGGATTGTTGGAGGGAGGAAGTGGGGTCACATGGTGATCAGCAGCAGGTTTTCTTATCCATGATACTTTATCATCTTTGGTAAGACATTAGTCTCCAGAGTCAATATTGAGAGCTCTTTGGACAACTTCTTCCTGACTGTTTACCACTGTGCTGCCACCTCTGCTGATAATGATGGTAATGGTGGTGTTTGGGACATAGAGAGAGAGAGATGATTCTGTGAATATCAGAATGCTGCTTGCTTAGCTATGAGACAACTCTCCAATTTTGCTGATAACCTCACGTAGCCAACAGGGTTGCAGGGTCAACGGCTTCTGGTGCCAAGAGTAGTTTTGAAGCACAATTACTGATTGAACTGGTTAGTTCTGGAAGAACATTGCTGCCAGCAGGTAGTAAGAGAACAAGAGGGAAAAAGATACTTGACCTCATTATCACCAGTCAGGTGGTCCATCCAGTTCATTCCTTTTTGGAGATTTTTTTTAGCACTTGGTACTGAGTAGCTTGCAGACAGAAGTTAAGAGTCAGCCACACTGGTGTAGGTCTGTAGACCAGACCAGGTGAGAATACAGTTTTCCTTTTGCTAAAGGACATTAGTGAACCAAGTGGATTTTTCTAACAATAAACAATGGTCTCAAGGTCAGCATTAGGTTTTTAATTCCAGATTTTATTAATATTAAGTTTTACCAGCTGTCATGGTGAAACTCAAACCTGTGCTCCCACGACATTTCATGTAACATTTGTGGATTGCCAGTCCAGTGACAATACTATTGCACCATCTCAGCTCCTTGTTTACAGGAAAGAATTTTTCTCCCTTTTACCAGATGAAGTTCATTATTTTACTAAGAGCAAAGTAGGGCAAATGCTAGAAATCTAAAACAGAAACAAAAAACATATCTTGGAAATACACAGCAGACCTTGTTACATCTGTGGGATGAAAAACAAGAGTTTCAAGTTTAGTGAACCTGCTCTACTGTGTATTTTCAGCATTTTCTCTGAGTTATTAGCATGTTCACTTAAGGTAAAGTTGTTAAAATGGGGAATAAATACTGGTTTCTGCTTTTCACCCCATTACAAAAGTTGGGGGAGATGCACCTCTTCCATACAGCATCATTACGCCATCTTCAACATAACTTCAAGTGCATGCAGATTAATAGACTGACGTCAATCTTTTTGTTCTGAGGAAGGGTCACCAGACCCAAAACATTATCTCTGATTTTTTTCTTCACAGGTGCTGCCAGACCTGTTGAGCTTTTCCAGCAGCTTCTGCTTTTGTTCCTTCAATCTTTTTACACTTGGCACAAAAAGGAACATTGGCAGAAGAAATAGTCATGCCAAGTTGCTGCTACACAGGCTCATTAGTTTTGAACTGTCACTGAGGTGATTTAGAGAAATTTCTTGACACAGTTGCTGCAGTTGTCCTGCTGTTACAAATAAGGGCATGGAAACAGAGACCACTACTTATTCTAAGAGATAATAAATGTTTAAACTGAACAAGATGTAGGGCTAGGGGGAGACAGCAGGGTACTGGAATTAATTTTGAAATGCACCAGTACAAAGGTCACAAACTTAAAGTGAATTTTCCGATTCAAAATTCTGAATCTGTTTACCGTGATTAGTTGAAGGAGTTTTAATTTTTGCTCATTCTTGTCTGAAGAACATATTGGGAAGTGAGGTCAGTAAAACATCAATAAAGTTGATGAAAATGCTTTATAGGAACTAAAGGATCTGTAATTTTAGTCAGACTGGAAGCTCCCTAGAAAACTGCCTGCCTGATAGTAAAATGTAGGGTATGGAGGTTAGTTTGATCTAATAGTAGGATAATAGGTCAACATAACATCGTGGGCCGAAGGGCCTGTACTGTGCTGTACTGTTCTATGTTTATGCAATAGGAAGCATAAATTTGCTGAGTCATCCAAAATGAAAAGAAAAACACGAAGTCTGCTCTATTGAAAGGTGGTTGGATGGCAATTTAAATATATTATGAAGGAATGAATGTGCATTTAAACTAAGTGCTGTAACTCAGCAGGTAATGAACTGAACAGGTGACACACACTCTCCAGTTCGAGTCATGAGTTAAGCCGACACTCGACGTGTGATATACCATTTGTCAGCAAAACAAAGTGTAGCTGATCACAGGATTGTGCTGTATAAATATCATATGGTTGACTGGATGGCACAAAAACTGCAAGGAAATAGCTTATAGGAGCAGCATGAGCAGGTTGCCTGGGGTCAAGGTTCGTCAAAAACCGAGAGGAAGCAAGTAGATGCCCTACCAGTTGAAAGGCAAACTGATTGTGGTAGACATGACACACATGTGATGTTGGCTAGTGGTCAACTGAAATTGCTCATACTGGACAATGTCAAGGATTGATCATGCAGACTGCATAAATGGAGAAGAGGATAAGAGAACATGCCTCAGAGCAATAACTAGTTAGTTCAGGAACAGGAGTCATCTGATCAACAACTGAAGGTTGGGACAGAGCTCGTTGATCCTCTGTCATGTCCACATAAACCAGGTCACGTGATAGTAAGCACTGTACAGGTAAGCTTGTGATACATTTCTATTACTGCAGCATTTTGTAGCATACTTTGTTTCAATAAAGAAAAATTGGGCATACTCCACTGCTGGGACTGCCTTGGGTTACTGATATCCAATGGATCAGGAATAAAAGCCTACAATGTAGGATGGCACATTCACATAAATCCAGAACTTGGCTTCTGGAAAATTGAGGACATACTCAGTTATTCCATAACTTGGGATTTTAGAAATATCACTTGAGCAAGATATTTCTGGAGGCTGTGACATTGATGAAAAAATTGATTTGGTGACTGAATATTTCAAGGGATCATGCACTCAGCATGCGCACCCAAGGTATGGAGTAGGGTATTGGGAAGGAAGGGAGCTTTCAATCTTTGTTCGAGATACAGGATTAGAAAGAGAAGATAAAATGAAAAGCATAATTTTTGTACAATCAAAACATTGTAAGGGCCAACTGCTAACTTTCAATAATAGTGGTGAATAAGAGTGAGATACAGAGTGGGTCAGAGCTGCCTCTGAAAATACCCCTGTAAAAAATAACTTCCTAAATCTCTGGGGCAGTTGATTGTACTATTGAAAGTGATACATGTGAAATAACACCAAGCCCAGTGGGAGGAATATCACAACTACAACATCTATCCCTGCATTTTAATCACACTCTCAACTCTCCATCCACTCACCAGAAATGGGAAATTCCTTCCTGCTCACATACTTGGCCAAAACAACATAAAACTTCTACTTTCATCCCCTGTCTCCAATCTGCTAGATGTATTGTTAGCTTTTAACTAAAACAGGCATGACTAAAAAGTGCATTGATGAGTTCTATTATTAGGCTAATAGAACGCTATCCTTTATTATGAGAGGAACTGAATACTTCAGTTATACAGGGCATTGGAGAGACCATTACTCACAATACCGTGTGCAACTTTGCTCTCCTTATTTGAGGATGTAAATGCATTGGAGGCAGTTCAGAGGAGGGTTACTAGTTTGATATCTAGAATGAGTAAGTTGACTCACAAGGATAGGTTGGGCTTATTTCCACTGGAGTTTAGAACAGTGAACGTGGCTTGCCTAAAATATACAAGATCCCTAATGGTTTCAGCAAGGAGAATGTGAAAATGATGTTTCATCTTATGGGTCAGTCTAGAGCTAGAGGGCACTGTTTAAATTAGAGATCATGTTTTGGACAAACACAAAGAATATTATTTTTTTTTCAGAGGATTGTAGGCTTTGAAAATCTCTGCCTCAGAAGGTGGTGTAAGTAGGGTCATTAATTTTTTTAGGGCAGAGGTAGATAAATTCTTGTTAGGCAAGGAGACAAAAGTTATTAGGGATAGATGGGAATGTGGAATTTGAACTACGAACAGATCAACCATGATCTTTTTGAATGGCTGAGCAGTTCCGAGGGGCCAAATGGTCTACTTCTGCTCCTACTATTTCCTATGTTCTTTTGTTAAAAGGCATTCCAGATCTGACAAACGATCATGGACATCCCAATTTTTCTTTCAAATTTTGAGCAATAAATGACAGGATTGGCAGTTGGAAGCTATTCAAATAAAATTGTTCACTGTTGTGAAAGGCTGTGGCATGAGGATCACAAGTTAAGAATAAGGAAGTTAAAAGAATTTTTTTTAATCCTAAGGGTAATCAAGATGTCAATCATGGAAGAATAAAACAAATAGCACAGGGTTAGATACAGAGTAAAGTCTCTTTCTCTACATTTTCTCACCAAATTCCCCCAGGAACAACACAGGTTTAGATACAGAATAAAGCTCCCTCTAGACTGTCCTATTCAACAATCTCAGGGTAGGTATAGTACAGAAAGTACAGCACAGATTAGATCTACACGATAATACCTGACCTGGCATGTGAACTAAGAGGCTAATAATTAAACTAAGTAAAAAAACCCCAAAAAGTATCTTCAAAGTGAAACACATTCTCCTTTGCCTATGCAGCTGTTTTCTTCTGTGCCAAGACTGATGAAAAGGAAACATCAGCACTTAGAAGGGACAGTCACAGATTCCACTATTGACATTGAGGTAGTCTATTATTCATACCACTCCGCATCTAGCTTGGTGCAAAGAAATGTCATACAGTATGATGCTTGTAAATTCTATAATGAAGTAGCAACATTAGAAAGTGTATTTACCTTTCGAACTAATCGAAGTGCTTGGGTTCGCTCCACTTCATTACTCTGTTGTATGTCTATACATCTGGAGAAAGAAGATCACAAAATCTGTTCATTCATGTTCCTGCATTGCTACACTGGACTGATGACTCATACAGTAAACTGTCATTGTATGGCTGCATGGAGGTGGTGACTCTCACGATAACCTGTCACTACATTACCATACTGTGCCTCTCTCAGTAATCTGTCACTATTTTACTATACTGAAAGGACGATTCTTGCAGTAATCTGTCACTTAATTACGAGGCTGACATGTGTCTCTCATAGTAATATGTTACTGTATTACTAGGCTGGAGTAGAACTGGGCTGACCTACTAAGTGACTCCAGACTCAAGTTTGCACCTTGAAAGTACCATTCATTTTTGTGTGTGGTTTCTTAATCTCTGATCTGAAAATATTTCTCACACTATTGGCAATCTGCTGTTTTAACTATTACTTCTATACGGGTCTCTCTTCACCCACCTCAATCTTTTATTTCTACTGTATTCAGATTGTACTAGGGAATCAGTGCTATTTAAATATCAAACATTCTGACAGATTAACACCAGCTAACAATGATTCAGAAGTGACACCTCTTTTCTTCACAGCATATGGGTATTGCCGGCTGGGCCAGCATTTATTGCCCATCCCTAATAGCACAGACAGCAGTTAAGAGTTAACTGCATTGGTGTGGATCTGAAGTCACATGTGAGCCAGATCTGGTAAGGACGGTAGATTTCCTTCCTGAAAGGACATTGGTGAACCAGGTGGGTCCAATTGACAGTGGTTACATCATCATCATTACACCAGATTTTCTAATCCAGATTTTTATCGAATTCAAATTTCACCATTATCTACAGCATGATCCAAATACATGACTCCAGAACATTAGCCTAGGGTTCTGAATTACTAACAAAATGAAATTGCAAGAAAAGCTCAGCAGGTCTGGCAGTATCTGTGGAGAGAAATCAAAGTTAACGTTTCAGGTCCACTGACCCTTCCTCAAACACTCAGTTCTTAATATGTAGTCCAGTGACATTGCCATCATGCCACCAGTACATGTCTCAAAGTGACAAGACAGGAATCCAATTTGACCTTCTCTAAATCTAGCCTGGAACTAACAGGGAGCATTCTAACCAATGGCTCAGAATGCAGTAAAAAAATAGAAAAATCAAAGAAGCAGAAGCTGCGTGTGCACCAAAATGGGGTTACTTTAAGGAACTGCTCTGCTTCAATTTTTATCCTAATTCTTTCATAGGATGGGGGCATCGTTTGACAGGCTAGCATTTGTTGCCAATCCCCAAAAGCCTTAAAATTTATTGGCATTCTAGGCTATTTTCAAGGACAGTTTGCAGTCAACATTGCTGTGGGTCTGGAGCCATCAAAACCAGGTAAAGATGATGGATTTCCTTCCCTAAAAGATATTGCTGAACCTTGATGGTACTGTTGGCAGGATCAGCATTTGCTTTTCAACCCTAACTATCCTTGAGAAGCTGGTAGCAAGCAACTTCTGGACACATTGTAGACTGCCTGTTTTCGGGATACCCACTGTACTGTTATAGGCGGGCAGTCCCAAGATTTTGAACCAGTAACAGTGAAGAAATGCTGATATAGTTCCAAGTCACAATGGTGAGAGACTTGGGGAACTTGCAGCAGACACATGGAAAAACCACCAGCTGCTTTTGTTGTTCGAGATTACAGGTTTGGACAGAGCTTCTGAGGTGTTTAGCGAGTTGTAACAGTACATCTTACTAAACAATCCCATCGTGCACTGGTCAACAGATTGAGTGTTAAAAGTGATGAATGGAATGTGAACAAAATGAACTGCTTGATACTGAGCTTCACATGTTGTTGAAGCTGCTCTCATCCAGCAAACTTGAGAGTTTGCCATCATGCTCCTAACTTGCGTCTTGTAGATAATGGGAAAGTTTTAGGGAGACAACAGTTTAGTTACTCATCACAGAATTCACAGCCTCCAATCTAACCTCAGAGCCTCTGCATTTCTAAGTTTGGTCCAGTTCAATTTCTTGCCAAAGGTAATCCCCAGAGTTGTTAATACTATGGGATTCAGTGATGGAGATTCCATTGAATTTCAAGCGACAATGGTCTCTTATTGATCATTGCACAAATATTACATGCCACTTATCAGTTAAAACCTCAAAGTCATCTAGATCTAGTTGCGTATAAAAGCATAGAAAATAGGAGTAGGCCATTCACCCCGTTAAGCCTGCTCCACCATTCAATATTTATTTCAGTACCCTGCTCCCGCTTTCTCCCTATATCTTTGATCTTTTTAGCCCCAAGAACTATATCTAACTCCTTCTTGAAAACATCCAATGTTTCAGAGTCCCCTGTGGCAAAGAGTTCCACAGGCTCATCATTCTCTGAGTGACGAAGTTTCTCCTCATCTCATTTATAAATGGCTTACCCTGTAGCCTTAGACTGTGACCCATGGCTCTAGACTCCCTGGTCAATGACATCCTTTTAAGCATTTATTACCCTGTCTAGTCCTGTTAGAATTTTATAGATTTCTGTGAAATTATCCCTAATTCTTCTAAACTCCAGTGAATATAGTCCTAACTGATTCAGTTTCTCTTCAGATGTCAGTCCTGCCATCCCAGGAACCAGTCTAGACTCTCTCCATAGAGCATCTTTCTTCAGAGAAGGAGACCAAACTGTACACAGTACTCCAGGTGTGGTCTCAAAGCCCTGTATATTTGCAGCAAGACATTCCTGCTCCTGTACACAAATCTTCTTGCTATGAAGGCCAATATACCATTTGCCTTCTTCCGTGCCTGCTGCATCTAGATGGTTAGTTTCAGTAATTGGTGTACAAAGATGCTCAGGACTTGGTGAACCTCCCACTTTCCCAATCTATCACCAGTCAGATAATAATATGCCTTACTGTTTTTGTGACCAAAGTGGATAGCCTCACATTTATCCGCATTATATTGCGCCTGCCATGCATTTGCCCATTCACTCAATTTGTCCAAATACATTGAAGTATCTCTGCATCCTCCTCACAACTTAGCCTCCCAACCAGCTTTGACTCACCAGCAAACGTGGAGATATTACATTTAGTTCCCTCATCCAAATCATTAATTATGAATCATCATGAATAGCTGGCGTCCAAGCACTGATTCCTGTGGTACCCTGGAAGAAAGACCTATTTATTCCTATTGTTTTCTGCCAGCCAGTTCTCTATCCATGGATTTTAATTTTACACACCAATTTCTTTACGTGAGACCGTATTGAACGTTTTCTGGAAGTCCAAGTAAACTACATTTCCTGGCTTTCCCAATGCTATTAGTTTCATCATCAAGAATTCCCAGCATATTTGTCAAGCATGCTTTCCCTTTCGTAAACGCATGCTGATTCTGTCCAATCCAGTCATTGGGATAGACACGGACAACTTCAGAATCTGAGAATTCATGAATTATATTGAACATCATACGAGAATCAGCAAACATTCCCCCTCTTCCTTTTCTGATGAGCAAGATGTAACTAGTGGGATGCCACAGGGTTCAGTCCTCAGACCCCAACCATTTACACTCTATATTAAAGCTTGGATGCAGGGATAGAAGGTTCTATATCCAAATTTGCAGATGAAACTAAAATAGGAGGGAACGTAAGCTGCAATGAAGAAATTAGAAATTTGCAAATGGATATGAATAGTTTAGGTGAATGGACCAAAGTTTGACAGATTATGTGTGCGAGGCCATCCACTTTGGTCAGAGGGATAGAAAGGGAACTTATTATCAAATGGAGAGAAACTTCAGAGTGTGCAGAGGGATCAGGGTATCTTCATGCATGAATTACAGAAAACCAGTATGCAAGTAATAAGGCAGGCAAATGGAATTTTGTCATTTATTGCAAAAGGAACAGAGTATAAATGTAGGGAAGTGTTACTGCAACTGTACCAGGTATTAGTGAGACTACACCTGGATTACTGTGTACAATTTTGGTCCCTTTACTTGAGGAGGGATGTAATTGTATTGGAGGCAGTTCAGAAGAGATTCACTAGATTGATTCCAGAGATGAGGGGTTGTCTTATGAAGAGAGATTGAGCAGTTTAGGCCTAGCGTTTAGAAGAATAAGAGGAGATCTATTTGAGGTATACAAAATGCTAAACAGATTGACATGGTAGACAGGGAGGATGTTTCCTCATGAGGTGCAATCCAGAATAAGAGTCATAGTATTAGGATAAGGAGTGGAAGATTTAAGAGATATGATGAGAAATTACTTCTCTCAAAAATTGTGAATTAGTGGAATTCACTAACCCAGACTATGGTAGATGCTGAGGCATTGGCTAAATTGGAGGAGGAGTTATTTAGGTTTTTCATTAAGTAACAGGTTGAAGGGTTACAGAGACTGGGCAGTGGAGTTGAGGCCAAGATGAGATCAGCTATGATCATACTGAATGGTGGGAACAGGCTTAAGAGGCTGAATTGCCTACACTTGCACCTAATTTTTATGTTCTGATCTTAAGTAGTAGTAAAGGTCACTGAGGAAGAAGTTGAAACTGGTTGGGGCCAGGAACTATCCTGAGGATTCCCCAGGGCATCGGTCCAGGAGGAGGAGATAGCTGGTTTATCGGAACCACAATCATCTTCCTTTGTGCTTGGTATGGCTCCAGCAGTAGGTGAATTTTTCCCATGATAGTGGGGCATTTCAACATGCATCACCAAATGTAGCTTGGTTGCAAGCTTCGTCAGTCAGGATTGTGATTTCTAAAGGACAAAGCAGCTAGACTGTGTCTGTGGTAGATAGTGAGGAAACTAACTACAGGGAAAAATATACTTGTCCTCATCCTCACCAATCTCCCTGCCACAGATACACTTGTCTATGACAGTATTAGTAGGACTGACCACCTCGAGGCAAAGTACCAATGCCGCATTGAGGATACCGTCCATTTTGTTGTATAAAATTACGACAGTGATAAATGGAATAGATTGCAAACAGATCTTGCAACTCAGATTCAGCTTCCTTGAGGTGCTGAGAGCTATTATCAGCAGAATTGTATTCAGCCACAAATCTGTAAGCTCATGGCCTGGGATATCCCCACTCGACCGTTACGTTCAAACCAGGGAAATCAACAGTAGTTCAAGGTAGAACATGTGATGGCATGGCAGGAAAGTATCAGGCACAACTAAAAATTAGGTTTCAACCTGAGGCTACAACACAGTTCTGCTTGGGCCCAAACAACACAAGAAGCATGCAAGAGTCTGAACTAAGCAATCCCTCAAAAAATAAATCAGACCCAATCTGCCATATCCAGTAATGAATGGTGGTGGACAATTAAATAACTAACAGGAGACTCTTATTTTCAATGATTGAGGGGGTGCAGTAGGTCAGGTCAAAAGATAAGGCTGGAGTATTTGCAGCTACAAGTGGCAAGTGGGTGTTCCATCAATCAAATGCCAGTCTACGGTCAATTATGACCTGTCCACACGATATTAAAAAACACTTGAAGGCTCTGAATACTGCAAAAGCTTTGGGCTCTGAAACATTCTGACAGTAGCACTGAAAACACAGACTGCAGAAATAGCCAAGTTGTTCTTGTAAAGCTACAACACTGGCATCTCCACACCATTGTAGCAAATTACACAGATATATCATGTGCACCAAAACAGATAAGTCCAACCCAGCAGTTACTGTCCCATGACTTGACTGTCAATCATAAGCGAAGTGATGGAAGGTGTTATCGGCACTGCTATCAAGTGACACTTACTCAGCAATAAATTGCTCATGGCTGCTCAGTTTGCATTTTGCCAGGACATCGCAGCTTACAAACCTAATACAATCATCTTCTAAACACTGAAGAATCAGCTGAACTCCAGAAGTGAGATGAGAGTGACTGCCCTTGACATCAAGATTACATTTAGCTACATTGTGACATCAAAAAGTCCTAATAAAACTGGAGTCAATGGGAATCAAGGTGAAAATTCTCTGCTATTTACAGTTCCATACCTGGCAAATAGGAATGGTAGTCAAGATTGCTGGAGGTCAGTTATCTCAGTACCAAGACATCTCTGCAGGAGTTCCTCAGGGGAGGTGTTTTTAATCAACCTGTTCAGGAATATTATGACATCTCTGGAGCAGGTGGGACTTGAAACTTGGCCTCCTGGCCAAAAGGTAGGGACATTACCACTGTGCCAAAAGAGCCCTCAATTTCCTCACAGATCTGTTCTATGCCCAATGATCTTCAGCTGTTTCCTCAAAGATCTTCACTCCATCACAAATCAGAAGCAGTGATGCTCAATGATAGTTGCACGATGTTCAGCACGACTTGCAGTCTTGGGCACTTAAGTAACGTATGGTCAAATGCAACAAGACTTGGCTAATATTCAGACTTGCGCTAATAAGCAGCAATTAATATACAGGCCACAGAAGTGTCAGGCAATGACTATCCTCATCTTGGTATTCAATGATGTCACCACTGCTAAAATCCACACTACCAAAGCCTAGGGGTTGCTACTGATCATAAACTGAACTGGAGCAACTATTTACATATTCTGGCTACAAGAACCAATCGGAACCTGGGAATTTAGCAGCAATTGATTCACGTCTTGACTCCCACAGAGTCAGTCCACCATTGACAAGATACAAGCGATGACAAGACAAAGATAACGGAATAATGGCCTGGATGGTGCAGCTCCAACAACACTTGAAAAGCTCAACACCATCCAGAACAATGCAGCCCGCTTGACTGGCAGCCTATCCATCACCTTTTGACATTCAAATCTGTCCACCACTGACTCACAGTGGCAGTAGTGTGCACTAGCTAGAAGATGAACTGCAATAACTCACCCATAACTTTGATGCCACATTCCAAACCCACAACCTCTACCAACTAGAAGGACATGGGCAGCTGATGCATTGAACCACCACCACCTGTAAGTTTCAGAGTTACAAAGTTTTTACAGTATGGAAAGAGGCCGTTTGGCTCATTGTGCCTGCACCAGTTTTTCTGTTTTATTTTAATTTATTTTAATCCTATTATCCAGAATTTGGCCCTTGTCTTGTATGCTAAGGCATTTCAATTGCTCATCTAAATACAGTACTTCTTAAATGTCTTGAGGTGCATGCCTTTTCTACCCTTCTAGGCAGTGAATCCCAGATGCCCCATCACCCACTGGGTGAAACATTCTTTTACCCTTCAAATCTCCTCTAAACCTCCTGCTTCTTACCTTAAACCTTTCACTCCATCACTGCTTTGAAACAATAAAATCATTTTTCCAATGTCATGGGGTCAAACTCCTAGAATCCTTTCCTCAACGCCATATGGGTAATTCAGATGGGTAATAAATGCTAGCCTTTTCAGCAACATCCACATCCTATAAAGAAACACATTAGTGCCCTAGGATTGGGGAAACGAAGCGTAGACTGGGTGACAGCTTTGCAGAACATCTACATTCTGCTCGTAAAAAAGACCCTGAGCTACCAGTTACCCACCACTTTAACACACCACCCTGTTCCCTGGCCAACATTGGTCTCTGGCATGCTGCAGTGTTCCAGCGAAGCTCAACGCAAGCTGGAAGAACACCACCTAATTTTCCGCCTGGGGACCCTGCAACCCTCTGGATTCAATATGGAGTGCAACAATTTTAGGGCCTAAACTCTCCCATGTCCTAGCCCCTACCACACACACCAGGCTTTGTTATCACATAAAAACCAAAAGAACTGCGGATGCTGTAAATCAGGAACAAAAACAAAGTTGCTGGAAAAGCTCAGCAGGTCTGGCAGCATCTGTGGAGGAGAAAACAGAGTTAACGTTTCGGGTGCGGTGACCCTTCCTATGTTATCACGTAGCCTGCCATTACACACTACCTATTGTTAGTCACTAATAGTCCCTATTAACAACTCTTCACCCTCCTAGCCAGATCATTATCGACTCCTTTGTCTATCCAACTGCTCTTCTCTCTCTTTGGACTCTATCCTAACCCATCCCCCTCCCTGTTTTCTGCGTATAAACCAACGTTTTCCCAGCTACCATCAGTTCTGAGGAAGGGTCACTGGACCCAAAACGTAAACCCTGATGTTTTTCTTCACAGATGCTGCCAGACCTGCTGAGCTTTTCCAGCAACTGCTGTTTTTCTTCCTGTTGAATACAGATTAAACATTTGGAGACCAGGTCCATCCACGTTAATGTAAACATTAGCCAAGCAGTTGCTTTCAAGAATTGCTTACCATTCTGGCCAAGTGTGACAGTGGTTTGTCAGGGAGGTGTTGGCCTAGTGGCATTATCGCTGGATTATTAATCCAGAGATCCAGCTAATGTTCGGGGTGGCACGGTGGCTCAGTGGTTAGCACTGCTGCCTCACAGCGCCAGGGACACGGGTTCGATTCCACCTTTGGGCCACTGTCTGTGTGGAGTTTGCACATTCTCCCCGTGTCCGCGTGGGTTTCCTCCGGGTGCTCCAGTTTCCTCCCACTGTCCAAAGATGTGCAGGCCAGGTGGATTGGACATGCTAAATTGCCCATAGTATTCAGGGATGTGTAGATTAGGTGGGTTACAGGGGGATGGGTCTGGGTGGGATGGTCTGAGAGTCTGTGTGGACTTGTTGGGCCAAAGGGCCTGTTTCCACACTGTAGGGATTCTATGATGATCTATGATCAATGAACAGCAAAATTAGTGTCACATGTTTATAAACTATTTTGTAACCTAGTAGGGTATTGATAGTCCGCTGTTCTATCAAACTGCTTTCTGTCTTTCTCCTGCTGGTTTCATTTTTCATACAGTGCTCTAGAAGTGCCATCAGCTCCCAGTGGGGAAGCTCGTTAGACCAAGTTGTGGTGTGATAACCTAATGATTTAGTTTTTGGAGCTACTACCAAATAACTGAGTAAACATGTTTGACAGTGCATTTGATTAACAGAGAAACAGCTTTCAATCTACAGTTTGAAAATTTCCCTGCTAGTAGTCAAGGTGCAAGTGAATAGAGACTGACACAGTCTCAACCTTTGAGGTGTAAGTTCACAACAACAAACTGCACACATTTATACAATTTTCACCAGCCAGTGCATTTAGCAATTTGGCAATCTGTTACATATTTTCAAAGAGGAATCAAACCACACATACTAACCTAGCTATTAAGTAATCCACACGCAGTCTCAACACCTTCTGAAGAATACTGGAGTCTTGGATGAGATAGCGAAGGGCACGGAGACCAGCTGCACGCACCTCTTTAGCTTCATTTAACAATGCTAATCGCAAACTGTGTAAGAGGACAGTATATTTAAGAAAGGAAGAATAAGCATCTATACAGTACCTCCAGCACATCTCAAAAGCACTTCATAATAATTACATTCGAAGTAATTAATTGCCTGTTATTTTGAAGGCAAACGCAGCAACAAATTAACGCACAACAATAGAGAAATCCAGTTTTATGCTCCTGCCACAGCACAGAAACAGGTGCTATCCAGTGTGACGGTGAAAAAGATAAACTAGCCTTCCCCATCTTACAAGTCCTGCCTGCAGCCTTTGATACAGTTGGCCACACTGTCCTTCTGTGATTCTTCTCTGCTGCTGATAAATTATAATTGCTCATTTCCACCATTTTAACATTGCCCAACTTCATTCCTTTCTTAGTTTGTCTGTTGCTAAAATTCTAATTTATGCCTTTGCAATATTTAGACTCAACTGTTCCAAAACTTACATCGATCCCCAAAATTCTATCATTCATAAACTAAATTCCTTACTGACATCAAGTCTGTTCACATACCAGCCCTGTTTGCTGACATACATTTATTCCTAGTAAAGCAATGCATTGATTTTAAAGTTCTCACCCATGTTTTCAAATTCCATGACCTCTCAGCTTTCAGATCTCTCCACTAATCTAATTCTGGCCTCTTGAACATCTCCAATTTTAACAGTTTCACCATTAATGGCCTTGTCATCAGGCGCTTTGGCCCTAAACTCAAATTCCCTCCCGAACCCTTGAGTAGCCACCTCTTTATTCCTTTAAGGCCTTCCTCAAAACTTCGCCACTTTGATCAAACTTTTGGCTATCTGTCCTATTGTTTCCTTTATTTGGCCCACTGTGTAATTTTGCCTTATTGCACCATTGTGAACCACCTCAGCGGAGTCAGAGATTTACAGCACAGAAACAGACTCTTTGGTCCAATTCATCCATGCTGACCAGATTTCTTAAACTGATCTAATCCCACTTGCCAGTATTTGGCCTACATCCCACTAAACCCCCCCTCCTATTCATGTACCCATCCAGATGTCTGTTGAATGTTGTAATTGTACCAGCCCCCACCACCACCACTGGCAGCTTATTCCATACATGCACCACCTTCTGCATGAAAAAGTTGTCCCTCAGGTCACTCAAATCTTTCCCCTCTCACCTTAAAAACCCATGCCCTCTAGTTTTGGACTCCTCAACCCTGGGAAATAGACCTGGCTATTCACTCTATGCATGCCCCTCACGATTTTATAAACCTCTCTAATGTCACCCCTCAGCCTCCGACGCTCCAGGGAAAACAGCCCCAGCCTACTCAGCCTCTCCCTATAGCTCAACCCATCAATCCTGGCAACATCCTTGTAAATCTTTTATGAACCCGTTTAAGTTTCACATCTTTCCTACAGCAGGGAGACCAGAATTGAATGCAGTATTCTAAAAGCGGCCTAACCAACGTCCTGTACAGCCACAACATGACATCGGAACTCCTTTAATCAATGCATTGATCAAAGAAGGAAAGTGCCCCAAACACCTTCACCACCCTCTCTAGCTGCAACTCCACTTTCAAAGAATTATGCACCTGCACCCATAAGTCTCTTTGTTCGGCAACACTCTCCAGGGCCCTACTATTAACTGTAGAGGTCTTCCCTAGTTTATTTTACTAAAATACCTCACACTAGCTAAAAGGTTTGTAGCAACACAAGTAATTGTTGATGTTGTTTTTGGCCATGTTGACCAAGAAATAAATATTGCCTACAATACCAATATCCCATGCCTTCTTGAGGAAGAAAAATCTCAGTTCAATATCTTTGCAAATGACCACACCTCAATCAATGCAGCACACAATTGTCAGATTATATTTTATACATAAAACCTGGAGGTGGACTTAATCCCACTGACTACCAGTGATCGTAGTTCAGAAGACAAATGTTCTCAAAGTTGAATAATCCAGATTCCTCAAGAAAGAAAACTTTGAATCTCGACCATGCCAACAAACTCACCACATAAAAATTGGAAATATCAGATCGTTAGTGAACTTACCATATTATAATTTCTTCATAAGTAAATCCTAGTTTCTCTTCACAGTGGCCAACATTACAGAGTAACTGAGGTGAAAGAGAGAGAGAGACCATATCAAACAACTTTGAACAAACCAGCTAAACAATGTAACTAACTTTGTGTCTATTGCCTGATACAGAATATTGGTAGAGGGCCAAACATCTGAATGTTGCAATATGGCATAATGAGACAAATTTACACTGCGACTTCCCACACAATGAGCTCCTGATTTCAATCATGCCTCGCTGGGCAATTGCCAAGTGAAGACCAATGCGCAACACTGAAAGATATAAGCAGAATAGTCTCATAGAATATTACAAGTTTTATTTGAGTGGATCATACAAATTTACACCAACGAGACAGCTAAATGGGTCTGGCAGCATCTGTAAAGGAGAAAACAGAGTTGACGTTTTGGGTCCGGTGACCCTTCCTCAGAAGTTAATTACTTAGTCTTGGTGACCCTTCCTCAGAAGTTAATTACTTAGTCTTGGTGACCCTTCCTCAGAAGTTAATTACTTAGTCTTGGTCTCCCTGCTATAGGAAAGATGATCTGAAACTTAAAAGGGTTCATAAAAGATTTACAAGGATGTTGCCAGGATTGAAGGGTTTGAGCTATAGAGAGAGGCTGAGTAGGCTCGGGCTATGTTCCCTGGAGCATCATAATTACTCTGAGGAAGAGTCACCAGACCTGAAATGTTAACTTTTTTTTTCCTTCACAGATGCTACCAGACCTGCTGAGCTTTTCCAGCAACTTTGTTTTTGTTCCTGATTTACAGCATCCGCAGTTCTTTCGTTTTTTTTTTAAAGAGAGCTAAATGCCCTGATTGGTTTCTGTTATAGCTGTTGAGTCCAGCTGATATCACTACTGACAAGTCAGATGCCAGAATGAAAATTGATTTGATAGATAATTTGTTTAACCTTCATTCAATTATTAAACATGGTGGTTAGTCACTAAAACATATTCACAATGTTGAAGATGTTGTTTAACAATAGAACATAGGCTCATCACACAAAAGAAGAAAAGCAATAAAAACCTAGCAAAACGGATATAGAAAACAGTTT